ATAGGATGGGTCTAACGTGTGCCTAAGCGTGACAGGAGATAATCTGCAACCGGAGAAAGAAGTTACACAAACAGATGAATTAGTGTTTCGTCTGCTAACCTCCGTTCGCGGGTATCGATGATTAGATTATGGTGTTATAGAAGGTCCATACCAATGATTGGAGTAGAAACATCTGCAACAACAAACATCCAGTGAATAGGTTTGCGTAAACCCACTTTAAGGTAAACGTACCTTTTACCATATGTGACAATAGGCTTTCCGTTTGCCGCCTGCAGGTTTAAAACCGATTCGTGAAGCTGGTCGTTAGAATTTGCTCGAAGAACGCTAACTTCTGCAACAGTATCGACGAGGTAGCGAGCTTTCGTTATCACACCTATGACGTATTACAGAGGGCTATGTTTGCCGGCTACGGCTGATGTTAACGCGTGCCGGCTTGGAAGTTTATCGAGTTGTTTTGCGTGTCAGTTGATTTTGAGTTGAGAAAATCGCACGGTCTTCCGCACTTTCTGGAAGACTTTCTTTACTGGTTATGATAGCGGCACCAGTCGTGGTTATCCGTCTCTCATGGTCTAGAGGCAATTCGCTTACGTGAAGTGCTTCTTCGCAGAGTGTGTGACCATTTACGGTTATTACGAAATCTAAGATAAAGTTTAAGTGTATGACATAATTCCGTAATGTCATTCTTGGTCGTTTGAGGTTTTTCTTTGACTGAAAAAACCTCGGGATTAGAAGATTTCGTAATTTCTAAGATGTGGGCGGCAGATGCGGCCAGCTAGTCTACGGCGTTGTTTTGAAACCAGACCAGCACAGCTTGCACCTGCTGAGGAAGCTTAGATAAGGAAAGTTGTCTGAATAAGCCATCAATGAAGATTCTTTGGCCGATAACCATTCTCATTCTCAGCAACATGTCTGTCGCAGAATCGTGTTTCAGGTCTATATTATTAGGGAGTTGGTCTAACCTTTGGCGATCGGTTAGATCTCCGCCTTTAAGGATAGATCGTTTAAATTTTTCGAAGGGTTGAGAAACATCATTAGTGAACATGCTAGGTGTTATGTACCAGTCGAATTCGCGCGGTAGTGCCTCGAATACTGCGAGGAATTGTACACGTGTGTCGATCACGCCGTGCTCGTGGAAGTTAGCCTCTGCATAACAGAACCAAGCTTCGATGTTGTCTGGCCAGAAGGGCATTAGTTGGAACGAAGGTGGAAACACACAGTTTGCGATTTGGTGTACCAGATCACGCTAGGTTCAACAATGAAGATGCCACAGGTGTTTGGAGTTTGACAACGCTTTAACCAGTAACATTTTCTACTATGAGTCGTACCCACCAAGTGAAATCAAAAGATAGAAGCGAGGAGGTTCGAAGGTATATTTAATAAGCTATCAATATATCGAGGATCGACTGATCTAACCTGGCTAGCGATTGCAAGGGATGTTGAGCACGGTGTTCCCACTCGCGATTTGTTGCGGATGCATGACCGAGCGCTTTCAGCTAGGTGAGTCCACTAGGACTAATGTGGTCAGCATCCAATATCGAAAACTTACAGATCTATCGATTTTGGGGATTTATTTACCGCTACAGTATAGAGAGAACGGCCACCGGTCGGTAGCATGAAGGTTCGCTGAGTCGAACTCCTTTGGAAATTGGTACGATATGATCCAGCTTCCAAATTTTCAGTAGTTTGCCTCGGCTTAGCGAGTGTGAGGACATCACACCAAGCGTTGTTGCCAGGATTCAAGCTGCTTCCCTCAGTATAGCAGAATGAACAATATCCAGGCCATGAGAAGTGTTTTTTCTAAGGTGTGCAGTTTCCAGTACACCACTTCAGCGCTCACTTTCACTTCGGAAGCGGAATACGCTTTTCGGATTGGAGACATGTTTATCGATAAGCTTTATCTGGTACTGAAGCCTATTTTCTTTTATTGCCTTTGTTCATTTGTTCCTTATATGTTCGTATTGCCTGTGTGCCCCGTTGTTACCAGTTCGTTTGTATTCTGCCCAACAGTGCCTTTTGCGGCTTAGCAAACGAAGAGTGCGGTTCTTGATGATCGTAGGTTGCTTGTAGATTTTGAGTATCATTTAAGGAACGGATTTCTTTGTAGCACATAAAATCGTGTGCAGTAAGAAATCCCAAAGAGCTTACACATCAAGTTGAGGGTAAACACCCCAATCCACCAGCTGTAGATAGTCCTGTGAAGCTGATAGATTCAGCCGTTTGAAATTCCAGCGCATGTTGTCGTTGGGATGTCTTAGTCCAGTTTTGCTGATAAATACCCGGTCTAAACGTGACGGCGTCTGACTGTTTCTCCACCGAGTTTCCGACTTCACATTTTCGAATAATGCCAGATCCTCAGTGAGGTTGAAGAACCGAGCTTCAGTTAAGTTTTTAATTCCAATAAACGTATGTTCCGCGAATTCGACTTTGGGAAGATTGAAGTTCCCTAGAATCAGGATGTGAGTGAATCCGAGAAGCGTAGAGCCTAAGAATCCTTCCAGAATGCGATTGTCACACGATGTCAGCAGTGTGCTTTATGTAGATGACCCCAACTAGACACCTCGAGGTGGTAGAAAATCTTATTGAGCACCATACGGATACACTAAGATTGATAAACTCTTGGTTGTGCACTTGATGTGTCTCCAGGAAAAATCGCAAGTATAAGGCTACTCCATCAGTCATTCTTGTTTTTCTGTCATTGCGAAACAAAGACATCCCCGATGTTACTAGCTCCTGGTCCATAAACTTAGAAGATATCCATGTTTCAGATATTCCCACCAGATGAGTATTATTAGCATTACTGACTTCACGCAGCTCATCTATTCCATTCAGTAAACTCGCGGCGTTCATATATAAGAAGTTTATGTTTTCAATTTGAAACGCGTGAGCTTCCTTCTCCTGTTTATCTGTATGAGCCTTGTATGAATGGACAAGTAACCCACCTACACAGGTTTTTCCGTGTTGGTAACCACTGTAGTTTAAGTTTTCTTGTGATCTAGACAGTCCACAAGTGGAACAGTCAGCTCCAATTTGCTTTTGTGGTTGATCCTGGCATCATGTAGCCTATCTGGGTGCATATGGATTCCAGTTGGCAACCGACGTCTGTTGACACGAAATGCTTCCGGAGTTGCAGCCGCCATATGTGAGAATGAGAAAGTTATTTTCATTAGTGGGGGTCTAGAATCTCCGTCTTTCTTGGCCAGTCTCACTGTTTGTTGAGTCAATATGTTTTTGAGCCCAAAGGACTGCTTGATGAATTTCCATTCCCGAATATAAGAGTTTGTGTGGTCACGGTGCGTGTTTTCACGTACACCTTGCACAATGATATTTCATCAACGGAAAAGCTTCTCACGAGATTTATTAGGGATGTTCCTTATGAGATTGCGCTCAGAATCTGGTATGTCAGACAGTATTCTTACGTTCCCATGTGATTTCAGTAAGTGATTAGTTAGTAGGATATCCTCTACGTCGGTGGCATTAGTGAGTGTTACACGAAGTAGGCTTGGGTGATTTCGATGCTTATATTCTTTTCCCCGAGTGAGCGGTGTGACCGTGAAGGGTTCTATTTCGGGAAGTCTGAACTTCTTGTTTAACTCTTTCCAGGGTATCCTGTTACTTTTGCTCTGCAGGCTGAGGGGAAGGTCAGGACTGTCTTTAAGGTTCATGATTATGAGAGAATCGTCATGAACCTATATTGTCTTTCCAGGTTAGGAACCATGTTGTTTGGAGTTTGAAGGGTGTTTCCGATTTCTTTGCTCTTTGATGACCGGACGGACATTCTTGGGGGCAGACTGGGTGGTTAAATCGTCAGATGATTTTCCTACAGCTCTTAGAACGTTCAGCCTCTTAGACGCCTGGCCCTTTTCGACTTCGGTAACAGGGGTCTAATCACCCACAGAGTTTTGAGGAACCACTGTTCATTTAGGGACTTTGTGCTGGGAGACCCAAGTCTGCTGGGAGAGTCTTTTACTGTCGACGTTATGATGATGCTGAGTTTCATCATGTCATCACCAGTGTTATTACATGCTCCATCGATAGTAGCGATGTCGAGATCCATCGTCTTGTTTTCATTGCGCGTCCTTATTTGTCTTCCTGTTTTGTGACTGTCTTTCTTCGAGTTTGCTGACAACTTATTCAACAGACCTGTCAATAGGACAATGACGTTACTCAGCAAAACTTCAGCATCAGTGTTGCATATGACACATACCCACCTATGATTCGAGTTACTGAGTCTGTTTTAAGCAGTTGCTGTGAGGTCTGTGAACGCCTCATTGAACCAATCTTTGTAGTTGTCGCACTGCATGAAAGATGTAACAGCAAAACGACATCCAGGTCGTCTGCATGAATTTTTCGTGACTATATTGACGTAAAACGTTTTACAGATGCTAGCAAAAGCCTAAGACCGTAAAAAAATAGTACACTTAAAATGGGCAAAAATGAGTAAAAACGTTTTGCGATAAACTGAATCTAGCCTTTACGTGAAAAACCGAAAAAAACACGAATAGGACTAAACGTCCCGTTCGAAAAGCGCGCGATGACAGTTTCCTATAGCTGCTAGCCATTCTAGATTAGTCACTTCTCAATATGTCGGTATTCTATCAAATATATCTTCGAGGCTCTTCTCTTCTGACTTCTGATCTCACTGGGTTGGTAAGTTTCGATCACAGAATTTGGCACTGTTTAAGGTGTCGTCAGACTCCGAATACATGTGGCATCTTTACACTGAATTTATAATTTGGCTAACTTCAAAATTTATCCCAAGGTAACCGGTCTGTAATTCTTCTAACTGAAGATACGACCCATAGATTCGAGCTTAGCCAGAAGGTACATTGTGTTCATGGTTGAGCGAATCTGGAAACGAACAAACGATAAGCAATATAAAGGCTCAATAAGTACAAAGAGAGCTCATCCATTCAATAATTAAGCTGACACAAAACAATCAGCAACTACAGAAGCATAATATATGGGAAGTCTGATGATTGGAACTAGTGGTTAAAAGCATTAGGCGCCGTTATTGTAGTATGCGCTCCGAAGGACTCTGCAAGAAGGAGGACATTCTGGAATGTGTAAATAAAAAGGCAGATGACAAAAAACTGCGACACTTTTCAATCAGTCGATATGGGTTAGTGGATAACGATGTTAGAAAAGTTGTATGGCCAATTTTAGTGAGAGGAAATTGCGAACTACCAGATATAGGTAAAGTCAATACTCAGTGTGTAAACCATCTCATCTCATGTATATTTTGAAATATGAATAGTTTCTGTTCGGAGTTTGTTCTGTGAACTTAAATGCTTGTTTGGTTTTTTACCTCGAGTCGTAGGTGACTTCCTATTACTCCCTATTTTAATCAAATGTAAACTACATTTGAAATTGTAGTTAGCATCTAGTCTAACATTTTGTAATCCGTCATGGTCTTCATACCAATTAGCGTTTATTAGATTAGAATTTTACCGAGTTCCGTAACATTGAACATTTGAAGGTTTCGTCACCAAAATTTATGGGATTTCGTCAATGATCATTTAGTCTCCAATCTACAGTAATTAAGATATTAGGTTGGTGAACCTGTGTTAGTCCTGACAGATTGCCTTTCAATAAAGGTTCAGCTTTACTTTGAGAATATTCACTGATGGGGCTAATACCACTCGTTTGGGTAAGGTTTCCCAGTCATTGACTACTCGATGAGGAAACGGGACCCCACTCTAAGTTTCTTAGATCGCGGCTTGTGAGCCTTCTTGCTTTGACCTCGGAGACTATTAGTGCTGCAGGGAGCAAAAATATAAGACATTAACACCCAAATCACAATTAAAGATACGAAATGCCAGTATAAGGTCACCTCACGTCCTACGATACGACAAGGGGAGAAGGTTTAGGCGTTTTAAACGCTCTTCGTAAGGGCATTTAGAAAGACCCTTCAATAATTTTGTTCCCACACGCTGGACACGTTCAAGTGAGTTGGTATGCTTTACCAGACATGAGCTAGCTGCTTGGATACAGTGCTCTAAATGTGGTCTCACATATAAAATTCGAAACATTTCCTCGTCAAAGCATTTGAATGCTCGGCGAAGTGACCATAACGCACGAGAACCTTTGACAGAAGCTGCGTTGCAATGCGTAGTTGTTTTCAATTTATCACTTATTATTACTCCTAAGTCTTTATGTTCTTGAACGCGTGAAAGAGGTTTACCATCAATAGTATAATGGTAACTATTACCGTGACCAATGTGCATTAGCACACTCTTCCTAGAATTGATTTCTAAGCCTCAACCTCGAGTCCATCTAACTAATTCGTCTAAGTGCGCTTGGAGATCAAAATGACCAGCCTCACTTTTCATTGCTCTCCAGATTTTTACGTCATCCGCAAACAGTAATGTCGACGACATAAGCGACAGCCTTAACTCGTTAACGTAGAAAAGGAAAAGCAGAAAGCTTAAGATAGTGCTTTGGGGTACACCACTTTTGACCGGCTTCCAATCGGATGGAGTTCCATTGACCCTCACTCTCTGTCTGTGGTCACATAAGAAATTTCCTATCCACTCCTGTACAGAACCTATTATTCCGAAGGCCGAGAGCTTCTGCATAAGACCTGAGTGTGAAACATTGTCAAATGCTTTGCTTTGGCTTCCACGATCTGACTACCCGAAAACCCTTAATCGTAAGGTTAGTTTCACCACTTAACTTTCGAGTTCTTAACTCCTTAAGAGCACTCTTCCACTTGATTCGATCCTCAAGCGGCCAATCTGGTCGGATATGAATATTTTAATCACGAGTTTTTTGTTCGTTATTCAATACTATATATCTTTCTTCGAAATTCCCGAGAACCAACTTCAACATCCTTCTTGGTTGGGTCTCGCCTCCAACCCACTTACCAAGTCGTATTACTTTCGTGATATGTACCCCTGGAACCTCTTCAGGTAGTACGTTTCTTACTACAGATTCCATCAACTGCAGATCATGTGCATGTCTCTTAGCAGGGTCGTTGTCTTTCGACTCCTCTACATTCCAAATAATTAAACTAGGAAGGGATTTAAATTCTTTTGAAATCGTGTTCACGGCTTTCGATCGTGATGTTAAATCCTGCATATTAACTACTGGCATCTTACAATTAGTTTTCATTGTAACAGAGTGATGGGAGTCGAGCGAATGACTCACAACAGTGTTTGACGAGGCTTTACTTTGGGACTTTGGCGGAGTAGTCTGTGAGTCCACCAAGAACTTATCAAGTAAACGGGCATTAGTTTTGACTATCTTTCCTACTCTTCTGCATTTCCGCGTCATTCACTTCTCACCGGTCGTAGCATCTACATTAGAACTACTTGAGCAGCAAAACATACAAAACCAATGAGAGTTGGGCTTTGAACACGTTTAGGTCACTTAGGTCGTCGACATTACTGTTTGCGGATGACGTAAAACTCTGGAGAGCAGTCAGTCAGTCAGCTACAACGTAGGACCAGGCACATATGTGCATCGGTCCAGGTTGCCATACCTTATTAACACAGCAAGATGAACAGCGGATTCATAGGAGTGGTTAGGTCAAAGGTTGCAATAAGGATATAGTATAGGAAGAAAGAATTAGTTCGTAGAAAGAAAGATATGAAGTGGTTTTAATCTCTTAGTTTAAGGGAATACAGGGAGTGTATACACCGACGCCATTGTGATCGATTCTGAGCCATGTCACCAAGAGTCTCCAACCATTGGTTACGAAAGTCACGCGGACCCCAACCAAGTAGTCTGCATCTACCAACATGGCTCAGACTAGAAGTTAGTGACTTCAGACACTGATGCCACGTTTTGGTTTGGCCGCCCCTAACTTTCTTCCAACCATCCCCTACACCGGTTAGCATTGCATGTCGTGGTAATCGGTGTTCAGGCATACGTAATACGTGGCCCAACCATCTCAGTCGATGAAGATTAATAACGTCATCAACTGATTTACCATCATTCCCTAATACCCTGCGTCTAACCTCACTATTACTTACCTGGTGATCCCAGCAGATGCCAGCAATATTTCTAAGGCATCTGTGGTCAAATACTAGTAGCTTACGGGTGTCTTCTACTCTTAAGGGCCATGTTTCGCTGCCGTAAATTAAAACAGAACGAACTGCCGCGCAGTATACTCGTCCTTTTATTGATAGACGGATATCTCGCCTCCGCCAAAGGTGACGTAAGTTGGCAAAAGCCAAACGAGCTTTTCGAATCCGTGCTGAGATTTTGTCAGACACCAACCCATTAGGGCTGATCAGACTTCCAAGATAAGTGAAGTTGTCAACGCGTTCGACGACTTCACTCCCTATCCTTAGTTCAGGTGTTGACGCAGACCAGTCCCGAAGCAACAACTTGCATTTCGAGGGAGAGAAGCGCATTCCAAACATTCTGGCATTGTTGCTTAGTGCTACCAAAAGACTCTGCATTCTATCAGCGTCTTCACCAAACAGGACTATGTCATCTGCGTATTCTAAGTCGATAAGTGGACCTCCTGGTAGGAGATCAATACCCGAGAATTCAGTCGACGAGAGTGTTATTTCCATCAATAGGTCTATGATGAAGTTAAACAAAAATGGAGAAAGTGGACAGCCTTGACGGACACCACTTGAAGTTGCAAAAGTAGATGACAGTTCGCCATAAGCCCTGACTCGACTAGTAGTGTTCGAGTAAAGAGCCTTCACAAGGTTTATGTACTTCTGAGGTACGCCCTTCAATGACAGAAACTGCCACAGAGTCTCGCGGTCTACCGAGTCAAATGCTGCTTTTAAGTCAAGAAAGACCACCATCGTCGGACGCCGATAGGTATGCCTGTGTTCTAGAATCTGACGAATGGTGAATATGTGGTTGATGCAGCCACGACCAGGTCTGAAGCCAGCTTGGTTCTCTCGAGTTTGTAGTTCACGAGTCTTAGTTAGGTGTTTGATAATTATCGAGGCCAGTATTTTAGATACTATGTTTGTTAAACTAATCCCTCTGTGGTTGTCACAGGATGATTTTGGCCCTTTCTTATATATTGGGACGATAAGTGATTGCGACCAGTCAGATGGGATAAAGTCTAATTCCCAGATCTTAGCTAAAATATTAGTCAACCTAATGGCTAAAATTGGACCACCATCCTTAAAGACCTCTGGAGCCAGTCCATCTGGACCAGCTGACCTTCCTCGTTTCAGATTAACTATAGCCTTTTGAACTTCAGTAAGAGTCGGGGGACCTACTTCAATGTTCCATTCACATTGTCTGGGAATGGAGGGTAGTTGTAGAGTAGCAGAAGGCCAGCTGAACTGTTCTCTAAAATGTTCCGTTCATCGTTCTAAACGTCTGGACTTGGAGCGGATGAGTGTATCGTATTTTTCCGATATAATCTCACTTACACTTGACTTATTAATTCCAGTTTCTTTTATTAGTCTGTAAAGCTGTCTTGTATTCCGTATAGTCGCCGCCTTTTCCATCTCTTTTGCTTTCGTTACCCACCACTGCTCACGGTCGTTTCTTAGACTTTTTCTTAACCTAGATCTGATTTGTTTTCGCTCTTCATCATGTTCGGAACCTGATGGGACGAGTTTGCGAGAATCCATCAGTGTGACAGACCTTGAAGAAATCCACTGGTTCCTTGCAACTCTGTGGTTTAAGTCACTAATAGATGTCACTGCTGTTTCCACAGCTGATTGTATGCCCTTCCAAGCAACATCTGGGTCAGCCTCGTCTTCACAACTACCTAAGTGTGACCTCAGTTGTTCCCGGAACCTACTTTTGGTTTTCTCGTTAGTCAACTCAGTTCTAACGGGTCTTTTTAATGTGGCTTTTTTGCGTCCAGTGAGGCGCAAGCAGATGCGTGCCCGTATTAGGGCATGGTCGGAGTCCAAGCAGGTACTCCAGAATGAGCGACAATCTTCTACCGACCCTATCCAACGATGACTGATGGCAATATGGTCTATTTGAGTCCATCGTTGGTTTGGTGCAGGCGGTCGCCACGTTAGACGATGTCTCTCCTTATGTTTAAAATTTGTGTTTGCTAAAAATAAACGATTGTCTGAGCACAGTTGCAGCAGACGATCACCATTATCTGTTCGCTGTGCCGGAATGCTAAAATATCTACCTAAATGCCTTTCTGTTTGGTTTAAGCTACCTATCTGAGCATTAAAGTCACCCCGTACGAGTACTATGTCTGAGCGTTTAGCTTTCTGAAGAAGTTCAAATAGCTTTCTGTAAAATTCATTTTTCACATCATCTGAGCTGCAGTCAGTGGGAGCGTAGGCAGAAACAACAAAAAGGCAACGACGTGTGTCCCTATCCTTCCGAGTTTTTACGGAGCCGTTTAGCCGAACAGCACATAGGCGACTGTTGACGGGGATCCACTCTAGCAGTGCTTGTTCCGCCCTCATGCTTAGTGCTATGCCTACACCTGCCAGTCCACGAGAACTTGCCATCGGGTCACCAGATACACGAAGGGTGTATCTCGTTGGCTCTCCGTTTTGCCGAGGTGAGGTCAAGTGAATAACCACACTGGAATCCTGTATGCGAACTCCATCCGATTGGAAGCCGGTCAAAAGTGGTGTACCCCAAAGCACTATCTTAAGCTTTCTGCTTTTCCTTTTCTACGTTAACGAGTTAAGGCTGTCGCTTATGTCGTCGACATTACTGTTTGCGGATGACGTAAAAATCTGGAGAGCAATGAAAAGTGAGGCTGGTCATTTTGATCTCCAAGCGCACTTAAACGAATTAGTTAGATGGACTCGAGGTTGAGGCTTAGAAATCAATTCTAGGAAGAGTGTGCTAATGCACATTGGTCACGGTAATAGTTACCATTATACTATTGATGGTAAACCTCTTCCACGCGTTCCTGTAGCTACGGAAACCTTATGTGTTGGCCCTTATTTCTATTCATATAGAAGTATAACTTTTAAGCATATCCAGGAACTTAGGACAATGGTTCTGAAATTTTTTAATTTCGGTCGAACAACACGTGAACGTACTTAGATTTTTTTAGCACCATTTATATATTTTTTTCTACTCCACGACTACCTTTACTGTGACTCGTAAATATGTTATGGATGAAAATTTTATGACCAGACGAAAGCTTTGATTGTTCAAGTCAGTGGACAGAATGCTAACCGGTAGGTAAATGCAATGATATAATGTAATCTAGTGATGTTTGCTCACGAGACCATATTATTCACTTAGGCCACTTGAGTGATTAGGAATTAAAGACAATACCTCTAGTTATTTGAATGTTTTTTTATGTAGTAAAATGACATTCTCATATACAGAATATGAACGAAAAATAAACGTAAAAGAATATTGTAAGCCGTTAGACGAAATTAGATTGTAAGTCATTCATTCACCAATCAATTGAGACTAGTCTGTTATCTTCAACGTCCGGGCATCGTATCAGATTGTCACTTATATTCTGGGTCGTTGATATTTAGCAGACAGTAAATCGTACTTGTTCTGAAAATCCCTTGTACTAAGCTATTATTAAGGAATACTAAATCAGTTTGAATGATTTATTGGGATTATTTGTCCATTTCAAAATTTGAAACTTATTTTCCATGCCGGTTTATGACCTAAGAGATACTTGCTAGAACAACAGATCAGCATATCTCACGTAAGAAGCAACATGACAATATTTGAAGAAACCGGAACAAATGATGGGGAATAATGACGTTAACCTTTCTGTCCCGGTACATGGCGATTATTAGTTTGTCACATGAGCATTTATAACTACTCAAAATCAGGAACTTCTTGACTACTTGCGTCCAAGGCTAAGTGGTTGTGCATGCACCTAAAGATGCCACAGGTATTTGGAGTTTGACAGCGCCTTTACATGTAATACCTTTATAATCGAATTATGCAACCCGGTCAAAAGCGTTTGGTCTCAGCTAGTTAGTAGTTGCAAAGGATGCGAAGCACAGTGTACCCATTCGTGATCTGGTGCGTATGTGTGACCGAGCACCTTCAGCCAGGGTACGTCCAGTAAAACTATTGTGGTCAGTATAAATGTCAAAGACTTGTAGGACTATTTATTTTGGGGATTTATTCATCGCTACACACCAGGCTTTATAATTGTACTTTAATATTCAATGATTTGAAATATCTTCAGGCTACTTCACAATGTTCGTTTGCAACCTTTAGTTGACAATCCAGGTACACAACCATGCACTGTTATTTAAAGTTATCCGTTGTGTCATGAAACACAATTATTGACCTCCAATGTATGTGATTATGTTTGGGCGCCCAATTAGCGCTGGAAAAACGATCAATACATCCTTAATATATAAACAAAACTTCACTTACTCTTTATAGGTCAAAATTCCTTGCTCTTTAGAAATAGTGGGGTGTAGCGATATCAAACGTGCTCATAGGTAAGTGTCAGGCGGTATACACCATGTGTTTTGAAAATATTTACGAAAGTCGCTTCATTCAAAACTAGTGTGACATTATTTCATTGAATAAAGATCTAGTTAGTTGAAGGACCAGTGTCGTTTCCATTGTTATGATATACATCATCACAACAAGCGAAACTTGAGTCATTAGATGAAATTCTTTTATCTTTTGTGCTCTACAGTTTTTACACACTGGTTTCGTTTATGAACTTGAGAAGTATATTTGGGTAGTTACTTGTCAGTTTATCTTTTTATACTACTTTTATGCCTTCATTCCTCAGTAAGATAATAGAACCCGAATCAGTCAGCTACTGGTTAAATTTCAAAAACCTAAACCGATAAGTTGCAGCTCCAACTTTTTATGAAACTTAATCAGTAAAATCCCTTTATATATTTTTGATTTTTCTAAGCGAATATTTCTTAAACTTAAGAAAGCACTATTGATATATCTATTTGATGAATTTAAAGTTCTTACACTAATTAGTTAAAAGTCGATAGACTGCTTTATTTCCATGTTTCTAAATTGGTTAGTTTGGTAGTATTTGTAGTTTGAAACCAGCAAATTAATTTATACTTGGTTGACAAAGTAAATATTCAGGTTCCTTATTTACTGCCTATGGTTCTTGGTTGTTTACTGTCAACTGTTACTTTTTTATGATTTTTTGAATGGTAGAAATCAATATGTCCATATATGCTTATGATGCTGAGAAAGATTTGCAAGTTTCTTCCAATATATCAACTGTAGCATCATAATAATCCACTTTACCATACTTTTCAGCATCATTTAGTTTAAGTAAATACATCTTATATGTAAAACAGGTTCATATGTTTGACTTTCGTTCCATCTTTTTTAATTTCCAAAGTTAGACCCTGAAATGGTAAAGCACCATCCAAGCTATCATCAAGTTAAATTGGACACATGTCGTATGACAAGTTTAATGCCTAAGAACTCAAATCCCGAAGAAATTGAAAGTATGCAACAAATTGTTACTCGTCTAGTGATTTCTGTATTAGTGGATAATCCTTCTTTACATTATTATCAGGTACGTGTAAATATACCTATGCATATTGGTCTTCGCTGCTTAAATTTAAGGTGGCTTATATTTATATAAGATTTTCAGTCATCTAATTGGTTACCAGTTTTTACACTAATTATTTCATTAAATAGCATCTTTAAGAATATATGTTCCTTTAACTGTAGTTGGCAGTATGAAGTAATTAATATATCACAATTTGTTATTAACACACGACCCATTAAATGGTTTTCTTATTTACTTTCCTATCTAGTTACAATCCAAAAATGTTATTGATCATTAAATTAATTACGTATATTTTACTTATTACTTTCTAACTACATCAAGTAGAGCTCTATACCGTCAATATGCATTACATTTCCTAATTTTTTTTCCATAAAAATAAGTGAGGTTTTCATCAGCATCTCATCATATGTATTTCAAATCCTTAACTTAAAATCTAACTTGATGTAATTATTGCTTTAGTATCGTTGGGGTATTTCAGTCATCCCTATAACATAATGTGCGTCGTATTTCAGCAATTTGTGGCTATTTTCTTTGTTGAACTTGGTACTTGGGATTTTTTTGGAACATGCAAGTAATGGTAGCAAAGGATTGATTTCACTTCTTGTGAACTGTCTGACTCTTTGATCCATAGCAGTTGGTCTGTTCTGGACCATACAGTTAGAAGTACAATAAAATATAGCTGTATAACTGTCAGAATAGTAATGGTGATTACAATAAGAGTATTAAATTTATTTATTAGAAGTGATTTGATAGTGATAGCAAGTCATTTCGGTCTAGAAATTTAGTCATGAAAATGGTTTTATGATAATAAAAGCTTAGAAACAACTGTATAATCAACTCAACTGACCAAAAATTGAAAGATAACACAGTTTTAGAGTAGAGAGTTTTACAGCCTTCGGTGGGATTTCCAAACTTGCATTTTAGACAGCGAGTAGTGGAAGTTCATACTGTTCCTATTAATAATACGAAGTTTATTATTACCATTAGCATACTAGTATTGAATCAGTGAAGTTAATTCTTTCAAGATATTATTTTACGATAAATAGAAATACACGGAGAAGGCATATGTTATAATTCAGTTGCAATTATAAATTGCTAACCATACTAAATGTTTTACCAGTAACAAAATAGAACCACAATAAAGATAATCGTTGAATGTAACAGATTATTTGCAAAGTATGTTGTAAGTTCAGGAAATGGTTTATAACTCTCATAAAACTGTCTATGTATGATATTACTTCATGATTTTTATTATAATTGGTGTTGACAAATTTAGATCAAATATTTCTCGTTCAACATATTTTTAACTTTGATTATATATGAACGCTTTTTTGACTATTCAGTTTGTTTTACTGCTGTAATAGAATTTATTCATTTATTCATTTTTCATTTTTGATTCTCATCTTTATTTTTAAGGGTTTCCATGATATTTGTTATGTATTCTTTTCCGTTTTGGGTGAAAGAGAATCTCGAATGTTGCTGAATAAATTGATCCCAACTCATTTCAGGTAAATATTTATACCGAGAATTATTGCAAATATTTTTCATTGTTCCTTATTAATTAGACGTTTTGTATTGTTGCTACGTTTAGATAAGTTTTGATACAGGATGACGGTGTTTCAGGTTTGATATCATAAATAAATACGTAACAGGTAGCGATCGTGAATAGTGGTGGGCAATGAAAGCAAAAGAGATGGAAAAGGCAGCGGCTGTAGGTAACACCAGACAGCGCTACAGAGAAATAAAAGAAACAAATTAAGAAGTCAAATGTTAATGAAACGACCTGGGAAAAAGACGACACTATTATCTGCTCTCAGCCCAGACGTTTAGAACGATGAACGGAACACTTTAAGGAGCAGTACAACTGGCCTTCAGCTACTCTCCAACTACCGACCATTCCCAGATAGCTTGAATGGAACATTGAAGTATGTCCCCCTACTCTATCTGAAGTTCATAATGCTATAGTTAATCTGAAACGAGGAAGAGCAGCAGGTGCAGATGGATTGACTCCATATGTCTCTAAGTATAGTGGTCCAGTTTTAGCGACCAGGTTGATTAATATTTTATCTAAAACCTGGGGATTGGACGTGATCTCATCTGACTGATCTCAATCACTGATTGTCCCAATATATAAGAATGGGTCAAAATCATCCTGTGACTAATATAGCATCTAAAATACTAGCGTCAATAATTATCGGACGCCTAATAAAGACTCGTGAACTGGAAACACGAGAAAGTCAGACTTGCTTGAGACGTGGTCGTGGTTGCATTGACCGCATATTCACCATTCGTCAGATTTTAGAACACAGACATGCTTGTCGGTGTCCGACAATGGTGGTCTTTCTTGACTTGAAAACAGCATTTGACTCTGTAGACCGAGAGGTTCTGTGGCAGTGTCTGTCATTGAAAGGTGTACCTCAGAAGTATATAAACCTTGTGCATGCTCTTTACCCGCACTACTAGTCGAGTGAGAGCTTATGGTGAACTGTCATCTGTTTTTGCAACCTTGAGTGGTGTCCGTCAAGGCTGTCCACTATCTCCATTTTTGTTCAATTTCACCATAGTCCTACTTCTGATATTACATTCTCGTTGTCTGAATTTTTGGGAACTGATCTCCTACCAGGAGGTCCACTTATCGACTTATAATACGCATATGACATAGTCCTGTTTGGTGGAGACGCTGATAGAATGCAGAGTCTTTTGGTAGCACTGAGCAACAATGCCAGAATTTTTGAGATGCGTTGCTCCCCATCTAAATGCAAATTGTTGCTTCAGGACTGGCCTGCGTCGACAACTGTGTAGTAAAGCGAAAAACAGATGAGGACAACCGAATTATATTTAATACAAGATTACCGAGTTATTTAGTAAAATAAAAAAACCATACTACAATACTTAATTTGAAAAATGTTCATTGATTGTCTCAGACTTCGTTGTTCCTGCATTTCCATACCAACTTTTCTATTCCCGTTCTTCCCGTTTTGATCTCAATTTACCCGACCGTTGTTGCTACCTTGACGTGGTGGTCGGGCTTGCCTATCGTGATGAAGCAACCGAGCTATACTGGCTGGAACAACCGTTCCTCAAGGTCCTACCATGTCAGACAGGTCGGTTGAAGAGCGGTAAGACTAAAAGCAACAAACTCAAGGTCCGAAGGCGAAGTCGTACTGCTGACTGTACAGAGGTGTGACAGCAGTAAGGTGTTTCCTTCAGACAACCAGCATGACAGCGATGCTGCCTTCCCACAAGGAGGGGTGGGGTTAGAAAAGGTCGACCCTAAAAATGAACACCTCGCCTTATCCCACGGATATCCGTCTCCGGCGGTAAGGTCTCAATAAGTACGGAGCTAACACAAAATTTACCCATAACAAGGTCGTGTGTGACCGACCTCAAGCAGTTGTCCCTTGGGCACTGCGGTCACGCTCTCAGGTCACTAAGACCACCTTTAATCCAATTTCCTTTTCAGGTACCTCCAGAACAACCCTCCCACGGTGTGGGCAACCGGGAAGTGATAACCGCCCTCATACCTCTAACAGCACTCAAGACCACTGTATTCATAATCAACCTCCCTCTTCAATTCCTATTATTCCTCCTACATCGACTTTCAACTTTAAATTTCCTCTCTCGGCTTCCACCTCAAGTGTCACCATAGCCAACGATTCTTGTGCGCAAAACATTGTCCCAGGTCTACTGAAACCTCGCTCCAAACTACACATTGGAGCCTTCAACGTACGAACCCTATGTCAAATCGGTCAGCAGGCTTCCTTGGCTAAAACCCTAGATTTTCTTACCATTGACGTGTGATGTGTCTCCGAAACACGCATACAGGATTCCAGTGTGGTTATTCACTTGACCTCACCTCGGCAAAACGGAGAGCCAACGAGATACACCCTTCGTGTATCTGGTGACCCGATGGCAAGTTCTCGTGGACTGGCAGGTGTAGGCATAGCACTAAGCATGAGGGCGGAACAAGCACTGCTAGAGTGGATCCCCGTCAACAGTCGCCTATGTGCTGTTCGGCTAAACGGCTCCGTAAGAACTCGGAAGGATAGGGACACACGTCGTTGCCTTTTTGTCGTTTCTGCCTACGCTCCCACTGACTGCAGCTCAGATGATGTGAAAAATGAATTTTACAGAAAGCTATTTGAACTTCTTCAGAAAGCTAAACGCTCAGACATAGTACTCGTAGCAGTAGGTCCCCCAACTCTTGCTGAAGTTCAAAAGGCTATAGTTAATCTGAAACGAGGAAGGTCAGCTGGTCCAGATGGACTGGCTCCAGAGGTCTTTAAGGATGGTGGTCCAATTTTAGCCATTAGGTTGACTAATATTTTAGCTAAGATCTGGGAATTAGACTTTATCCCATCTGACTGGTCGCAATCACTTATCGTCCCAATATATAAGAAAGGGCCAAAATCATCCTGTGACAACCACAGAGGGATTAGTTTAACAAACATAGTATCTAAAATACTGGCCTCGATAATTATCAAACACCTAACTAAGACTCGTGAACTACAAACTCGAGAGAACCAAGCTGGCTTCAGACCTGGTCGTGGCTGCATCGACCACATATTCACCATTCGTCAGATTCTAGAACACAGGCATACCTATCGGCGTCCGACGATGGTGGTCTTTCTTGACTTAAAAGCAGCATTTGACGCGGTAGACCGCGAGACTCTGTGGCAGTTTCTGTCATTGAAGGGCGTACCTCAGAAGTACATAAACCTTGTGAAGGCTCTTTACTCGAACACTACTAGTCGAGTCAGGGCTTATGGCGAACTGTCATCTACTTTTGCAACTTCAAGTGGTGTCCGTCAAGGCTGTCCACTTTCTCCATTTTTGTTTAACTTCATCATAGACCTATTGATGGAAATAACACTCTCGTCGACTGAATTCTCGGGTATTGATCTCCTACCAGGAGGTCCACTTATCGACTTAGAATACGCAGATGACATAGTCCTGTTTGGTGAAGACGCTGATAGAATGCAGAGTCTTTTGGTAGCACTAAGCAACAATGCCAGAATGTTTGGAATGCGCTTCTCTCCCTCGAAATGCAAGTTGTTGCTTCGGGACTGGTCTGCGTCAACACCTGAACTAAGGATAGGGAGTGAAGTAGTCGAACGCGTTGACAACTTCACTTATCTTGGCCCTTAAGAGTAGAAGACACCCGTAAGCTACTAGTATTTGACCACAGATGCCTTAGAAATATTGCTGGCATCTGCTGGGATCACCAGGTAAGTAATAGTGAGGTTAGACGCAGGGTATTAGGGAATGATGGTAAATCAGTTGATGACGTTATTAATCTTCATCGACTGAGATGGTTGGGCCACGTATTACGTATGCCTGAACACCGATTACCACGACATGCAATGCTAACCGGTGTAGGGGATGGTTGGAAGAAAGTTAGGGGCGGCCAAACCAAAACGTGGCATCAGTGTCTGAAGTCACTAACTTCTAGTCTGAGCCATGTTGGTAGATGCAGACTACTTGGTTGGGGTCCGCGTGACTTTCGTAACCAATGGTTGGAGACTCTTGGTGACATGGCTCAGAATCGATCACAATGGCGTCGGTGTATACACTCCCTGTCTTCCCTTAAACTAAGAGATTAAAACCACTTCATATCTTTCTTTCTACGAACTAATTCTTTCTTCCTATACTATATCCTTATACGCAATCTTTCTCCTATATATTACCACCTTTGACTTAACCACTCCTATGAATCCGCTGTTCATCTTGCTGTGCTAATGAGGTATGGCAACCTGGACCGATACACATATGTGCCTGGTCCTACGTTGTAGCTGACTGACTGACTGACTGACTGACTGACTGATCTCAATTTTCTGCTGCTAGATATTATATTCCCGACTCGCTTCATTTACTACTTATGTCAATATAAGTAGTACTCTCCACACTCTTCCCCCCTTTTACTATGCTGTTCTCGCAGTCTTTCCGATCTCCGTACCACTGTCTTGTTTGGTGCTGTTCGTGACTCGCACTCCTGATAATCTTGAAACCATTTCTGCAGTTGACTGGCATTTACGCGCTTCCGTTTGTCTTCTCTCCGGATCGTGTAAACCGAGCTACGTCTCTCCATGACAATGGTCTGTTCTTCCCACTTCGAAATCAGATTTCCTGATTCTGATCCCCCTGCTATGTTATTTTTTCGTTCTCCACACTTTACCAGGTCCACCACTGCAAAAGGCTTCCACGTCCACCTCTGTTGTTCCGCCTTCTTTGTGTCCGATATTTGTTTCTTTCCCACGTTCCTTACTGCCACCCTCCTCTCTTTTCTTAACTTTGTTGTCGTCCACTTCTGTTCAGCGGGTGTGAGCACACGGCTCACGCATTCCACTACTCTATCAGACTGACTCAAGATAGCACCTATACCATGATCAATTGCGTCTGTGGCCACTGTAAACGGTTTCTCGGGTTCAGGCAGTCTCAGTGTCATTCTGCGGTCGTCTAGCATGTTTTTGATTCAGCTGTACGTTTGTTGGGCGGTCTTAGTTCATGTAAACTTAGTGTTGCTCAACAACCTATTTATTTATTTATCTGAACACAAATATTGGTACAAGGGGGCACCAAATATAAATGCACCACACCAATAACCTATATAGGGGTGCTGCTATTTCGTTCTTGACGAACCAACTGTAGAATGCCGCCTTTCCCAAGAACTGTTTCAATTTCCTTTTAAAATTAGGTACTGCAATGTTCTTTATGGTTAGAATTTTCTCTGGCACTGGTTTTATTTCTCCGTTTCCCACTTTATGCCCTAACAACGTGACGCTACTTTTCGCTATCTGCGTCTTGTCCTTATCAATTTCAAGTCCGAATTCTTCAGTTCGTTTTAAGACCACTTCCACATGCTTGTCATGATCTGTTTCTGTCTGGCTGTACGCAACTACATCGTCGCCATGCACCTCGACGTTACCTAGATCCTTGAGCAGTAGCGTCATTGATCTTCTGAACCTAAATGGTGCACCCACCAACTCGAACGGCACTCGTCTAAATTGATACTGTTTATCACTTCCAGTAAATGCTGTCTTGTTTCGATCGCTCTTTTTTATAGGCAGTTGCCAATAACCTGACCAGCACTGTAAACGCCGTAGCATTCTGCAGCCGATCTAATGTTTCCTCTACTGTTGGCATTGCACAAGGTTTCAGTTCTGTTATATTATTCAGTTCTCGAAAACCGACACAAAATCCGTACTTCCCGTTCGATTTCCTTACCAAGAGTACCGGCGAGCTATACAAGCTGTCCGTTTCCTCAATTATACCTCCTTTCAACACCCTCTGAACCTGTCGATTTATCTCACCCTCTAAATGCAAGAGACGCGACGTGTTGCAAATATGCTTGCTCGATCGTTCGTTATCGGGATTTCGTACCTTAATTTGTCACAAAATCCGTACGGCCGTCCGTCTCCAGTAAACAGTTCCGTATACTTTGTGCACAACTCGTTAATGTTTGGTTTCTTCACCGAAACATCCGTTTCCACTCTTATCTCAACCACTTCGCTAATTTCATGTATTGGGAATGAACCATACTTTGTGACCACCTTACGGCTTCTTAAGTCAACTATTGCTTTTACTTCTCTCAGGTAGGCTGCTCCTAATGTCGGTCTTGATAAACTTGTGGTTACTACGAACGGGAAATTTATCTCAGCATCACCCACTTTTACGATACTGTTAGACACACCCAACACCTCTCACATGTGCCTTCGAATGGTGTGAACTGCTACTGTACATGGCTTGAGTCTATTGAATTGCTCTTTGCCTATTAACTATACTGCTGCCCCTGTATCGATCAGACACTAAATCTTGTTCATTTATGTTCACTCTTGTGTAGAATACCCCTCTGTCTACAAGTGCAACAACCCCCAGATTCCTAGGGTAGAAAGAACACTCGTGATAACGTTTAAAAATCTACGTCTTCGTCTTATTGGACAGTTTATCTTCCAATGTCCTGTCCCTCCACAAGTGTAACACTTATCATTCCTTTTATGATTCACTCGTATTGCCGCAATCTCACGCTGCATCTCCTCAATCTTCTCAGCACTATTTATCTCCTGACTTACGCACCCAACCGGAGCTACTGTTCGGGCAACCTTCACTAGTTCATTGACATCCATAGGTTGTGCGGCGTTTACTAGTTTAAGCTGCTGGGGAATGGTTACAGTCACGCTTTCGATAAACTGCGACGCCAACAGCTGTGCCTCCGACTTCTCATCCAGATTCGGCAGCGCACGGCGCAACAACCTGGTAAGCTCCGCAGCCAGCACCAGTGAGTCACTATCGATCGACAGCTTCGCTAACCGGAACTTCTTCAGTGCTTCTTCCCTGTCCACTGGGCTGACGTACTCCGCGATCAACCGCTCCGTGACCACCTTCCATGTCGTCTTCCCGTCAACACTGAACTTACGAACTAATTCTTACTTCCTGTACTATATCCTTATACACAATCTTTATATATCACTTTCATTGAAGTAACTACTATGGATTACGTGTTTATCTCGTTGTCTTAATAAGGTATGGCAAATTGGAACGATGCATATTTATGCCTGGTCCTACGTTGTAGCTGACTGACTGACTGAACAGGTAGCGGTTTATCATACTTCATATGAACACTTAGGAGAGAAATCTGAACAGTGAACTAAAGTTGTTTAGAATTGGACATTGGAGTATTGTAACATTATGATGTGTGTGGATTAGTAATTTCTTAATAACGTTAAGTGTGTAAAGCACAAAGATATTGCATCACTTTTTTAAACGGCTTATATCACCCTTTTATTTTCATACTACACTGTATCAATAACTATTTATGTAGTTATCAGGTCTTATGCTATATATGTTTTAAGGAAACCTAAATGTTTTTGTGCTATTTAGATACTTGAAATTTATTATTTACTGAATAAAATAGGGGTGTGGTTGATAGTGGTAGTGGTGGGGAACCATTTACATAGGTTTAAATAAATTGCTAATGTAATTCGTGAAGGTTATTAGCCTTTAGATTCAGTATCATGGTTACATATATGTTAACCTAATGACTGGAGACCACGTGGTAACAAACGTCAACGCCTGGAAACATTTAAAGGATTCAGGTGGAAATAAAGCAGTTGTATTGTTGGACATATGCAAATATTCACTCGTTTGTTTTATTTTTCAAGTAGTGTTGGGCTAGTTTATGATGTCTGCAAAGCATTGCTGTCCATCAGTTAGAAATCTTATAGGTATAAAATAATTTAACTTCTTTCAGAATTCAGAACCCAGATCATTTGAAGCACTTTTATGTACAGATGCAGGAGATTAGTGTGAAACTGAAATGCCTCTGGTTGGTCAGCTTTATCATTAGATTTTGTAGACACAGATTGATTTATCTCTTCACCTCTGTGAAGACTTGAGATCGAAATGTAAACCATAATTGAGTTTTAGCCATGAATAAAAAGTGTTCATTAGCCTTGAGTCATTAAGAACTTCATTTGAATTCTATTGATACTTTTTAAATGGGCTTACAGAACTTAGAAGTAGTATGGTCAAATCATGGGGATGATACATAGCAATAATAACTAACGATCTGAAGATGTATAAAGCTTATAACTGGTAACTCGCTAACCATAACTAAATTAAGTTTGCTTAATTTAATGTTGATTAATTAAGCAGATATATTGTAGTTTCATGTAAAAACTTTTCTAATATATGAGTAACGTTTGTTAAAATAAACTTGCAGAATAACCTTAAATAGTTAGCTAGGATTATGAGTCAACTAAATGTCATGTATATGTATATTTGTCTAAATGTTTTATGAGTTTTTTTTACGATAGCTATTGATTAATTTTTGTTTTAAATTCCCATTCTCAATAGTTTGTTCATGCAGAAATCTATGGATGTAACTCTGGAATACATGCAATTGATATTCGCCTTGTTAGAGCATGTTTCAACTTCTGTACTGAATAGTATAGAATCTGTTGAGTTAGGCCCAGATTTCGCTATTGCTTGGATTATTACTTGGTTTGCTCATGTTCTACCTAATATGGATGATGTCAGACGCCTGTTCGATTTATTTTTAGCAACAGATCCTATCATGTTGGTTTATGTTTCAGTTGCTGTGAGTTCGTATTATTTAAAAAAAATAGGATATCGAAGTAGATTTCACTACTTCTGTAATGTAATAGGATATTAAAAAGGTGGATAATAAAAAGTTGATATATCTTTCTCCAGAATTTTCTTTATGGATTCTATTCTGGAAAGTTACCTCATACTACCTTGTGACCTTTTGTTATAATTTCTCTTATTATGACCTAGTTATTCCTATTGCTTAGTAATCTTGGACACAAATTCACTCGACAAATCCTCAAATCAGAGCATGGTTAAACAGGAACTGAATTACATTCCAAATAAAAAAGGTAGATGAAAGTAAGAGTTAAAATAAGAAAACCGTTAGTATATTTATAGTTTTTGCACGAGAAGATTCTAGAGTTTTTCCCAAGTATCCACTAGCGCTGATTGGATAAGAAATAGCCAGACTACTTGGTTGGGGTCCGTGTGACTATCGTAACCAATGATTAGAGACTCTGGATGACGTGGCTCAGAATCGATCACAATGAGGTCGGTGTATACACTCGCTGTCTTGCCTTAAACTAAGAGATTAAAATCACTTCATTATCTTTCTTCCTGTACTATATCCTTATATGCAATCTTTCTTTTATATATTACTACCACTGAATTAACTACTTTTATGAATCCGGTGTTCATCTTGCTGTGCTAATGAGCTGTAGCAACTTGGATCGATGCATATATGTGCCTGGTCCTACGTTGCACCTGACTGACTGAGAATCAGCGTGCCCCAACATAATACTGCACGGAACGTGCTTTAATCCAATCCATATTTCGCTAACCCGTTTAGTCCAAATCAGTTATGGATTTTTAGTGTTTTTGTTTGTAGTAATGACTATGATTAATGACCTTTAAATTTATCTTTATTATGGATACATGAAATTATTGGAGACTGACCCGTTTATCAATTGTTTCACATTTATGTACTGCGTTTTTATTGTATACAGACGAAATAGTTTTGTCTAATGAACACTTGAACCTTGATTCAGTTTTCTGAAAACTTGTTTTTAAAAGTTTCAAGTTGTTCAGTAATATGTGTTTGAATGTTGGCGCTAAATTTGTGTTTTAAAATTTGTTCACATAAACTCCCAAAGTATTTTATATAACGTCTAGGGTAAATTGTGTAATAGTGTTGAGTATTTTCACCTCCTGAGAGGATAGATCAGTTACATTGGGCTGGTGGTCGATATGGTTTGATGTACTCCAACTCTTGAGTTTGGGATTCATCGATATTCACTGTTATGACTAACAGTGTCGGAAGTTAATACTGATACAAAAACTTATGATACGCAAGCTCCCAAGCGGCTACCGATTGAGAAGACTAAGAGTGAAGGTGGAAGTTTATTGGATTAAACCGAACTCGATAAAAAAGTGCTAGTTTATATATATGTATATATTCACTCTTTGGAAAATAAAACCATTTTTCGACCAATAACATCCACTCGTCATTCGGAGGTTTTTGATTGCTGCAACTTGGTCTTCTCATTTAGCAGTTTTGATTATCCCACTGATCATTCGCCACCTATTCTTTATTTGAAAAGTTATTAAAGTAAATCAAGTATCTTGTTTATCAATCCTTACTATCTGTCAGACAACTTCAGAAAATCAATGTTGCGAAAAACCTCGAAACGACTTTAAACAATAGATTACGTAATAGAACCCTTAAGTAAATAGATTTCAAGTTAAGCGTGTAGTTTGGGAAGCGAGGGATAAGGTGGTTTACAAAGTTTAAAAACCATTAGTTGAGAAAAGTGTAATATTTAATGAATTACAACCACCACGTGATCTAATCTGTGTATAACGTGTAAATCGAGTATTCAATCCAGTGGTAGTATAAACTCGGTCACCAGTCTTATCGTACTATATCGTGGAACGAGAGGAAAGATTTCCATTAATCCGTTATATCACATCAACACTGAAATTCAAGTACATCCAGCTAATGGATCCAAAATGCGATGGAACGTTCCCGCTGTATTCTATTGCTAGACACATTCCAAGAATATGAAATGGTTGTATATTGTCTACTTTTCTGGTTTATTAACTTTCCATGATTATTTTTTTACTCTTTAATAACTAATAAACTTGTTGATTTCGTCTTAAAATTAAAAATATCCCCCTTTTCATAGATAATTACTATCAGTGCCAAAGAAGTGGAATCAACACCGCTGGATTTTGCTCTTTTGTATCAAACACTTGCACGTCTACCTAAACTACATCCTGTTGAGGAGCTTATCCGTGAAGCTTTAAAAATTTACATTGATTTAGAACCAGACAAATTAATTGAATTAGGCAATAAACGTATTCTAAAATATCGTGAGCAAAAATTACTAAACCGATCACCAATAATACGTCAACCATTTTCAAAATCTACAAATAAACATATATTATGGGGATTAATTACGCAGCATCAAAGAACTATTTTCTCTCTTAGTCTTATCGTCATTGTCATTAGCTATTTATTAAATAAAAGTTTAAAAGACTAGAAAAAAAAGATGAAAAAAGACCTAGTTATAATTGTTCATAGTTATGTAATAAAGTTGATTATTTTCTAAGTTATTTTGTCAATACTTTATTCAACTTGTTCAGAAATATATATATATATATATATATATATATATATATATATATATATATTATTTCTTAAAAATGCGTTCAATGCAAGCTGATGTATGAAGTATGTTCACCTCTTTTTATTTCAGAAATCTTTCTTCCCTTCTTTTTGTCACCCTGTTTTATGTCTTTTTATATTATGGATATTCTATGTCTATGTAGTATTGTTGGTGAATTGTAGGGTAGATAAGGAATCTGTTTGATTTTTCTCCTTAGGAAAATTTATGATGATAATAATTTGATTATTTATTTTTATTGTATTTGTTTTTTTTTTTTAAGAAATAAATTTATGGAACAAATATTTGTTCTGATATGATAAAAGACACATTGTTTCAACTACTTTACTAGTTTGCTCTGTCTATTAAATGAACGTAATATATTGTTACATTCAGAACTGGTGTCTCCTAGAGTTGATTCTATTAATATAAAGTGCGTGATTATCTTCATGATGCAGGTGTAAATCGAGCAAATTTCATAAGCTTATTGGGTGATGAAAATATTCTTAAAACTAGTCTACACATCCTTTGACATTTATTTATTTGAACACATAAACACTGGTACAAAGGGGCACCGAATACATATGCGCCAAAAAGTCACTTGATTTGTGTGTGGGCTGTGATACTGTCCGGGTGCCTACGCCGAAGCAGGTGGTTTTCTTAGGAGGCCACTCCCCCAACCTTTGACCTAAAGGTCTGCTCCACAGGGCAGTGGAGCAACGTCAGGAGATGCAATCCCATGGTAGCCGGTGACCGACTATTGGTTCATATACCGTTTGTTCTTTCAGGATCCTGGAGCCCATGTGGATCATTGGTTTGGAATCATGGTTTTCCAACTCACCAAGGCGGATCCTCAGTGTCCACCGATCCGGTTAAAGCTCCGGACATAACCTCATTTCATCAACTAACTAGTTAAAGAAGTTGAAAATTAGGTCAATAAAACAGTCGATGTAAATAAATATTTAAAGTTTAATCATACCTACTGGAAATAATAACTGATCACTGAATCACCTATATAGGAATTCTTAAAGATCATTTTGCAGAGCCATCATTCTGTTTTTTCATTTTATAATCTCGTGTATCACTTAGAAAGCTTTACAAGAATACTCTGTGTACATGTGCAATATAAATTTATCAGAAGCCTTTCCTTATTCTCATTATATGAATGGTTTCCGTCGATTTAACTTTTCGATTCCATATGATCATTAATTGTTCTCAAATCTAATCATCCAATTTTAATATTCACTTTTGTTAATTCATTCATCTCATTTAAAATAAAACTTTAAATTAATGTAGTGCGATTCAAAGATAGCTGACTTCAACATCAATTATTTGTATACCATAAAATAAATTAAAGCGCTTTGTTTTGTACCCTACTCAATTTATGGTTATTCCCCTATGTCTACAGTTTATTTACACTTTTTCCTTAAAAATGCATACAAGGAGTGAAGAATGGTTCAATTATGATGTGACGTCAGCTCATGGAGTCGTTGACTTGTTTTAAGCCATGTTCATAAGTGCCGACTACTTGGTTAAGGTGTACACAATAATCACAATCAGTAGTTGAAGTTTTCAAGTACAGCTCAGAATTAGTCAAATTCTCTTTTGTTACGCTAAGTAATTCTTTCTTTTCGAACTGCAATTTGAGCTAATGCATATTTGCATTATATCTTGTTTTATTTGTAACTGTGATGTAAGAGGTGACTCCAGTGACTAAAAAATATTCTGACTTATACTATTCAGTTTGTCGTTACTATTCTTAAAAGCAATTTATTGTTTATTCACTTCCCTAGATTTATCTGACATCCAGTGAACCTTAACGTTTTGCTCCATACGACAATGAAATTAATCCGTATTCCATCATTTATCTTGGTGACTAAATTTTATTTACTGTTGTTATTCTTTTTGGTGAATTCGGATAAAAATGTTGTTTTAAATAACAATCCATCTGATTTTTATCAACAAATAAATGCTTGGCCAGATTTTCAGTTGGCAGCATTCACTGATTTAAATGCTGATCGTCGAATGGATATTATATTTGCCAATGGCGATGGTTCGAAATTATTTGCTGTTCTACAATCTGACAATAAAGGTTTTCAATCCACGTCACCAATACTATCTAGTGTGAGATTTTCTCCACCTGTTGAAATAATTGGTAATTCTTTGTCTAAGCCTGTTCGTGGTGTTGCTACTTCTGATTTCAATGGAGATTCTCGGATTGATCTTTTACTAGTCACCGGTAGTTCAGATGGGGGACCATTTGATGTATATGTAGCTTATGGATCAAGTGGTGAATATCGTGGGAAATTCGGTAAGTCAACAGTGATATATATTCTGTGTTATGAGATCATATGTTTTTATGATTTCTGATTCCTACACAAATCAACTTTATTGCGACTCAAGAAAATACAAGTTAAATCAATAGACAACAAATCTTGTTTGTGGAGGTTTGAGTTGATAGTTCAGCCCAACTACTCATATTGATGGATTTTAAACATGACCTTTAACAGAAGAGGGAATACATGCGTTACTAGTATTTGAACTTTAATATTTTCTAAGCATTCCTCGGTTTCGATGGAACAGCGGAGGGAGCAATGCTAGAATTAGGTATTTTGGGTCGAGGTAAAGATAGTCGGTTGTGACGATGCTGTGATTCTTCATTGAGTTAGGTGGCTGGGACACATGCTATATCCAATCCCCCTCTACGTTGACCAGCGATACTGACTGCGGTAAGAGTAAATTGAATGGAAGATAGCAGTGGTGAAACTGAGATGTGGCATCAGCACATGGAATCACTGATAGGTTTCAGCTACCGGCTTCGAGTTAAAAATTAGGTGCTATAGTTCAAAATTCTTCTTCTTGAGACAGATCGATTTAATTCATATCCCCTCTTAAGTCCATAGCTTTCTTTACAGCTAATAATAGTTTATACAGAAGAATAAATTTATCTCACAACTTTACCTAAATCAAAGTCTAGTCTAGAACCTGGTTACATGGCACACATATGCCATGGTATGGCCTAGAGTGGGGAGAGTCAGCTCTCCCTCTCTAAATGTTCTCACATGGCTACGCGTATACAGCCATTATCAGGAAAGTCCGACTCACTGCCTTCTCGCGGTGGGGTTGTTGTTTACGAAATTGAGAGGACGAAAAGCGAATGTCCGGTAATTTAATCGTGTTGGTGGATACGGAGGATCCACCTTGGAGAGTTAGAAAACACTGATTCGAAACCAATCGTGTGAATGGGCTCCAGGATCTTAAGGAAACAAACGGCGTATGAACCTATTGTTGGTCACCGGCTATCATAGGACTGCATCTCTTGATGTCACTCCGTTGCCTTGTGGATTAGACCTCTAGGCCAAAAGTTCGGGGAGTGGCCTCCTAAGAAAACCACCTCCCTCGGTTTTGGCGCCCGGCTAGTATCTCATCCCTCACACAAATCGAATGATGTAGTGTGGCGCATATCTGTTTGGTGTCTCGGTTACATGTGTTGTACAGATTAATGTTATTTCTTGGCAGTTTGATTACGGAAATTTAGATGAACATAATGTTAATATCTTGGGCTGTTGCCAGATGAGTTAGAAGATACACTGCATCAAGTATAAATTCATACCGCTACACATGATATGATTTATCTTCATAAAGATATCGTGCTTGCAACAATTCCTGCATTTGCTAGGTCGATCTTGTTTGTAGTCGTAGGTATGCACTGGATAGGAGGAAGAATTAGCACTAAATATCCATTTGATTATTCCTGTTTTTCAAGAATTCTCTGGCTGGTTTTGTACCTCCTGACGAAAATCATTTCAACTTCTAACTAATTGCTCAAATAGATGTGATATTATCTGGGAAATTCGGAATCTAATTAATGCACCTATTTTTTATTTTAAAGCGTGCTTGCTCTTCATACCCACTGATAAACCTTATGACTATTACAAATCCAAGCTATTATCGGATTCTATCAGGTGTTGTCTAATAATGTCTAATTGGCATATTAGTCAGTAAACACACTACATAAAAACTTACCGTCATTTTATCTTCATGAAACTAGTTTAATATGATCTGAATTATCAGGTACCGTACTTCACTTCTTTATCAAATGACTTAAAAATCTTGACTAATTAGTTTCATCAGAGTATATCTCTACACATCCATACATTGCTAGTTTTATTCATGTGTTCATTCAACTCAAAGATTTTCTGTAGTATAACTAGGCTATAGATACTGTTTAATGTTCTTGCGTGTCGGTTTTTTGTAACATTTTTGACAGGAAAAAGCTTATTCGATCCAAAATGTTTACGCGAGGGTTAGTTTTTTACTTATAGTGTACGTTGAATATGGATATAAGGTAATACCATATAGTTTATTATTTCATTATAATTTATATTAGACTTTGAAGTACCTGAGTGGAGTGGCGGTACAGCTCCAAATTCACTGCATATACTTCATTCTAGGCATCCAAATAGTAAGTATGATTAGCCCTCATACAAATAGTGTAACTTAAAGCAAAATACATCGGTTTGTACTTCATTTGTGAGTTACATCTAAGTATTTGAACAACAACTATTCCTCTAACTTAATTTTGTCTTATCATGTTATCTCTTTTTCTAAGTAGATTAGATATTTCACCAAAACAATGTGAATTTTTCATTGTTGTACAAAGTTCGTGAGAGATTTCACCTATTGTTTTGATTAAAGAGAATTTACAACTACATTTTTCTTTCTTAAAATAGTTTACTTTAAAATGTTAAAGATAGACACGACTTCCAATATTGTTACTTTTTTTAAAATTCCTAATAAATGTTCAGGTTCACCAACATTTTTGGATACTTTTACTTCTCAACCATTAGTATGCGATTTAAATTCTGATATGATTGCTGATGTATACGGCGAAGTGTCAGGACATCGAGTAGCATATATAGGCGGGTATGTTAATTTCTTGATTTATTTGTTTGTTCTCCGAGTATAATTAAAGCTTTGTTGTCAACTGGATCTTAAAAGGTTTAGCTTTTTCATCATCCCAGTTTTTTTATTAATGTATGGTTTTAATAGTTGAATTCATGAGCCTGTCTAAGCTAGACAACCTGGAGGCATTGGACGGCCGTTTCTTCTTAGTATGGGACCTCTTAGCAATGCGTATCCACGATCGCGCTCTCGGGACTCGAACCCAGGACCTTCAGTTTCGCACGGAAATGCTTAACTTCTAGACCACTGGTCCGACATTAAACGGCGTTAATATCTAGTTTTAATCGATCCATAATCTTGCGCAACCCTCCACCTATTGTCTGAAGTTAGAAATTAG